CGCCAGGGAGAGGGTGGCCGTTCCCCGCCCACCCCCACCCCCGCAAGCCTTGGTTTCTGCCTCAGGAGGCCAGGAGGACAGCTCCTTGCTGGGTCCCATGGCACCCGGCAGTCTCCGTCAGTGCAGGGCTGCCTTGCACATCAGAGCTGCCTGCCACCAGCCCAGCGCGCAGACAGGTCAGGCCTCAGAATCTGAAGTCTCGGCCCAACTCCTGTAATAGGAAGGCCGCTGCTTTGAGTGGTCAGTGAGCAGCTATTGTTCTAAACTGAGTACACTCTTGGTGGAACTAGTTCTGAAATCCATTACACAAATTTCCGGCCTCTTAAATCCAGCAAACCAAACACTTCTTTATTTTGACAATGACGTGGGGTCATCATGGTGGAACATGATGGTAGGAAGATGGGGTGCAAGTGTGAAGGTCTCACAGCACAGCTGTTGTGGGCAAGGTCTGTGCCCTGTACATCAGCGTCCTACCTGCCCTGTGGGCCACCCACAGGCCCTCCACATTCCCAGCCTGATAAGGTTTGGCTGCGTCCCCACCCAAATCTCATCTCGAATCGTAGTTCCCACGATCCCCACGTGTCATGGGAGGGACCCAGTGGGAAGTGATTGGATGATGGATTCCCTCAGGCTGTTCTCGGATTAGTGATGAGTTCTCGCGAGATCTGATGGTTTTATAAGTGTCTGGCATCTCCCCTGCTGCACTCCTCCTTCCTGCCGCCTTGTGAAGAAGGCGCCTGGCTTCCCCTTCACTTCCACCCCGGCTGTAAGTCTCCTGAGGCCTCCCCAGCCACGCTGAACTGTGAGTCAATCAAATCTCGTTCCTTTATAAATGGCCTAGTCTCGGGTATATCCTTACAGCAGTGTGAGAACAGACGCATACACAGCCCTTGGCAGCGAATCATCCAGGTGCCCAGCCTCAGGCCAGACCCGTTAAACCAGGTTCCCCAGCATGGGGCTCAGACAGCAGATATTCTAAAGCCAAGTTAGAGAACCCAGAGTCTGGGTTCAGGGGGACATCGACACGGGCTGTCCCGTGGGTCACCTCAAAGTCCACATGGTCCTGTAGTCTGACATTTCCTCTGCCTTCAGAAAGCTGTCATTTCTCATAGACACGAACGAACACGCAACACACCCCCTGCAGCATAAATAGACAAAAGGATCCGCTAAATTCATCAGCTAAACATAACAAAGGAAAGAAGCAGGAGGCCTAGGTGGTGTGGAGAAGAAGGACACGGCAGTCCCCAAAGTGAGGAGGAGCAGCCATCCGCGCCGGGCAGAGGGAGTCACCCAGGCACAGGATCTGAGGTAGGAAGGGCCTGGCACGTTCCAGAAGCTACAAGAACCCAGCATGGCAGAGTGCACAGGAGCACCGTGTTCTAGGGCAGAGTGCCCAGGGGCAGTGCAGTAAGGTCAGCGGAATGAGAAAGGGCTGGAGAAAGAGTTTGGGTTTTATCCTAAGATCGCTGGGAAAGCCACAGGACAGCGTTTCCCAGACATGAGCGTGGCTGGCACTGTGCAGGCCGCAGAAAGGCAACTCCTGACATTCCTATTGGGGTTCATAGCTGCCATATTGAAGGATTGCCTTCTTGACCTTTGCCCCTGAATTCCCACTGGCTTCACAGGTCTGAAAACACACATGCAGTATGCAATGGACCTTTAATTAAATGCAAAAAAGACATCTAATCATCCTTCCATCCCCCAGTCTCCTATTTCCATCCCATATACTGAGCACAAATAGACACAAAGAATATGCATTATGTTGCACAAGGAATCGTTTTTTAAATGTCTTGAATCTCTTGAGGGAGGAATTATTTCAGTGGGCTAACGCCAATATCTATAATTAATATCTATGAAAAGTTAAACCCCAAGAAAAAAACTTTTCAGGCTAAAAATCCTCATGTGATTTCCAGGTAATTAAGAGTTTGGTCTCCGCCACAGTAAAAATAGGCTTCCACCCGAAACTGATTCCCTTTACAGCTACCAAAACCATTCCTGAAGTGACTTGAGGGGAAGGAGGCGATTAGAATCCATTTACGCAGCACAGGTAGGAGGTGACACCTGTCTGGGTGGGAGGTGAGCCGGCCAAGCACAGTGAGGAACGCAGGGCTCCTCCTTAGGGATTTCTCTAATTGCTTCATCTGACCTTCTTCTGGGGCCAAGTCCACCCACTGATAAACTTCTGCTTCAGGAGGGCCCCTCCTGACCCCCAACCCATCTGGCAGCAATGCTCACCCTGGGCATTCATGCAGAAACATGAAGAGCCCCCCGAATACCTGGGGAAGCCCAGCCATAGAGGTGCGATGGCCTGGCCAGCGTCATCAAGCTGCACAGTGGGAGGGGCAGCCTGGGACCCTGTGCACTGTGACCCCAGCCAGCCCAGCTGTCCACTCTCCTGGGCTTTCAACCCTCGTCACTCTAAAAATACACAATCCCTTAAGAACCCTGTCCCTGTGAGCCCAGCTCAGGTCCCCCGGGTCCCACAGGTCAGAGCTCCACCCCACGGCCTTCCCTCGTGGCTTCATCCTCACGCCATATTTAACAGTTGGAGCCATTTCCTCTGTGTGTGCGTGTTGTCATACGCGCCCACACACAGCTACATAGCAAGTCAGGGAGAGCCAAAGCATTTGGCCACGAGCATTTCTGTGGAGGGTGTGGTGGCTGCACTGATCTGCCCCACCCTGGGGAACTGCCTTCCACTCACGGATGCTCAGTAAATATTTGCTGATTTGAGAGCGGTGGAAGTGGCCAAATTTTGCTTCCAAGTGGCTTTAAAACCTTCATCCTAAGTGAAAGCATGTGGCCTGCGAGCCTCCTGCTGCAGGCTCTGGCCCCTGGAACCAGCAGGCAGGATGGACTGAGAGGCCACGCGCCAGGCCAGTCAGTTACATGTGCTTTAAAAATAACTTTCCTGGGCCGGGCTGTGGCTCACGCCTGTAATCCCAGCACTTTGGGAGGCCAAGGCGGGAAGATCACAAGGTCAGGAGGAGACCATCCTGACTAACACGGTGAAACCCCATCTCTACTAAAAATACAAAAATTAGCTGGACGTGATGGCGCAGGCCCGTAGTCCCAGCTACTCAGGAGGTTGAGGCAAGAGAATCACTTGAACCCAGGAGGCGGAGGTTGCAGTGAGCCGAGATCGCACCACTGCACTCCAGCCTGGGTGACAGAGTGAGACTCCATCTCAAAAAAATAAAATAAAATAAATAACTTTCCTGGCTGCACGCAGTGGCTCATGCCTGTAATCCCAGCACTTTGGGAGGCCGAGGTGGGCAGATCACAAGGTCAAGAGATAGAGACCATCCTGGCCAACATGGTGCAACCCCGTCTCTACTAAAAATACAAAAATTAGTCGGATGAGGTAGAGATTGCAGTGAGCCAAGATCATGCCACTGCACTCCAGCCTGGGTGACAGAGCAAGACTTCATATCAAAAAAATAAACAAATAACTTTCCTTCATCTGCAGCTCAGTGTCCACCCATCCACCCATCCATCCACCCCACAAACACTGAGCACCTGCGCCAGGGCACCAACAAGCTGCAGGGTCCCCAGGCCTCACGGAGGAGCAGCAGTGGGGCAAGGGCTGGGCGGCTGGGGGTGAGATGGAAGGTTCCAGGCCAAGTGGAGGAACCTGACAAGGAGGGGACCCAACAAGGCTGGTCAGACAGCAGCGATCAGCCAGCTGGGAGCAGGGAAAGGGAAAGGAGGAGCCTGTGGAGCAGGGCTGGACTTGCTCTGAAAGATCTTAAGCTGAGACCTCGCATCCAAAGAAGTGCAGCTGCAGTGTGGAAGGAGGATGGGAAGAGCCACGGGAACCGCCATGCAGTGTGGACAGAGGATTGGAAGAGCCATCCAGGTCTCTGGATCCCAGGGAGAGGAATCATGGGAACTACCATCTCATCTCTTTGGCTTTCCTGCGAGGGGTGGGGCAGGCTGATCTCAGCCCCCAAGAAGACACCACATCCAAATCCCAGAACCTGGCCATGGATTCCCTTGTAGAAACATTGCAGGTGTGATTAAGGCTCTAGGGAAGGGAGAGAAGCCTGGACTGTCTGGGGGCACAAGGGTCCTGATGTCATGACAAGGGTCCTTATGAGAGGGAGGTGGGAGGGTCAGAGCCAAAGCAGCAGAGGCAGAGAAGGAGGGATTGAGGAAAGGGCACGAGGCAAGGCAGGCGGCGCCTCTGCACATGGAAAAAGGCAAGGACAAGGACGTCCCCAGAGCCTCCTGAAGGAGCCAGTCCCGCCGACACCCTGACGTTAGCCCAGGCCGCTGACTCAGGATTTCTGGCCTCCAGAACTGTAAGAGAATGAAGCTGAGTTGCTTCAAGACACCAAGTTTGTGCAGTTTGTTACAGCGGCTACAGGGTTAAAACGGGGAGATGTGGCCTTGAGTGAACGGCCCGTGGCCTAGACCCCACTTCTCCGTGTAGCACTGCAGGCCCCAGGTGGAGCGGTGCTGGGCTGGCGGCGGAGCTCACCATCCCCACGTACAAGGCAAGCCCACTGCCTTTCACTGCTGCTTTCTAACGATGACCACGAAATAAAGCAAAGTTGGCACCACTTGGCACCACCCCCACAACCCAACTGTCCCTCAAGGTCATGAGCAGAACAGACCCACAGCCTCGAAACCCAACAGCAAGGACAGGCGTCTTTCATGTCCACCAGAAAAGCGGCCCACTGGCAGCCTGTCACCTTCCTGCAGCCTCAGCTACGCGCTGAACTCGCTGGCTCCCTGCAGAAACCAGACGTGCTGGAACGTGCTGCCTCTATCAGGGGTGAGCCTCCCATCACTGGAGGCATCCCAGCCGGAACACAGTGGTCTCTGAGCACCCTAGGAACTGAGACCCTGTGAGTCTATCCCAGGACGACCCCGTAGCAGCCTTGCTGCACACAGTCAGTGCCATGTGGAATTCTGACACTGGGCTGAATGAATCCGCCCAGCCTCTGCCTTAGACCTGTTTCTGCTGCTGTAACAAAATACCACAGACTGAGGAATTTACAAACAACAGAAGTTTATTTGGTTCTGGAGGCTGGGAAGTCCAAGAGCACGGGGCTGGTGTCTGGCGAGGGTCACCCCATGGTGGAAGGCAGAAAGGCTAGGGCAAGAAAGAGGACAAGAGAGGCTGAAATTCATCACCTCGTCAGGATCCCACTCCCAGGAGCATTAAACCCACTCCTGAAATAACAGCATTAATCCATTCCCCAGGGCAGAGTTCTCATGACCTAATCACTTCTTAAAGGTCTCACCTCCCAATACTGTGACACTGGCAATTACATTTCAGCAGGAGTTTAGGAGGGTTTCAGGCCATGGCAGCCTGCCTACGCACCAGCTGTCCCCCCGGCGGGAGGGAGAGTGGCAAGCAAAGGCTGGCTTCCCTTCTGGAAGACAAGAGGAGCCCTGACTGTGATTCACCTTCTCTCCCACGATTCCTGTAAACAGACACCCCAGACCTGGAGGCTGGAGGCAAAGGCACAAAAACCAACCCTCCCAGCTGACTTCCTGGTGGAAGGAAACCCACCCATACCCATGGCTCACTCGCCGCAGGGAACCTCACAGTTCTGGGGCAGAGAGTGAAATAAAGCCCCAGGAAGCCAGCTTCCAGCCCAGCCCAGCTCCTGGAGACAGGTGGCTGAGTCCACTGCAGCCGGGCTGGTTCATGGCATCCACGTGCCTTTCCAGGGGTGGGCCCTGGGCAGGCCACGCTCTCCAGGTCTTCATCTGGAAAGGACATGGCCTGAGAATCCTGAAACCTGGCTCTAGACCCAGCTCTGCCATTCCCGGGGGGAGCACTCTGCCCAACCCACTCACCTCCTGGGCCTCGGCTTTCTCATCTGTAAAATGAGACCCCAGCCAGGCTCCTAAAGTCCTGGCAACACCAGCAGTCCCTGACTTAACACAGTGGTTCTTGACTTACTTGGGTTGAGATCGGGCAGCAAGCTTGAGGCACTGGAAGGCTCAGACTGGCGCTGGACGCATGTGGCCACAGAGCACCTCCGCCTCTAGGGCTATGACAACCATGGTGGGGGTCTGTACCATTTCCCCAACTGCCGTCAGTCCACAACACCATGTGATGGGGTCACCTCGGACCTCCCCAGGCTGTCCTCCACGCCCTGGACGCAAAGGTCCCAGCTGTCCCAAGACAGCTCAGCTCTGCTGGTGTGGCACGTCACCTCCCAGACAGCTCAGCTCTGCTGGTGTGGCACGTCACCTCCCAGGGTACTTCATCCCATAACCTGTCACTGCAGCAGCTCCACAGGATGTATTGACTCAAAATGGCACAAGCACTCACAGAGGAGGTGCCACGGCCCATGGGCAAGATGGCAGTGGGACCTCAGGACAGGGGTTGTGCTGACTCAGGAGCCAGATCCATGTGGACGTGGCTCAGCGGAGCCGAGGATTGGGGATTCACCAGACAGCAAACCACAAAAGCAGAAGATGGGGACGGGCGTGGCTCTGCCACCTTTTCCAGTAGAAGTCACACCGCCCACAGCTGACACCTCTGAAGACCCAGGCAGCAGAAGGTGGAGACAGTATTGTCCAATGGCCACGGGTTGTTCTCCCCAGGTGGGTAGATGACTCCCTGATGACAAGGCCAGGAAAGTTCGAGACTGCGGCTAAATCCTCTTCCAGCTCCTCACCCCGCCCTCAGTGGGCTCCTGCCCAGAACCTGTATGCTCTTCTTCCAGTAATAAATGATCTCCACTTGGAGACTAAACTCCTCCCGCTCAGGCGCCACCTTCATGGCTTAGGGGTTGGGTGTATGGGTCTAGCCAGGCAAAGCGTTTCAGCTCCTTGGCCAACAGGATGGGTTTGGGGGTATGTGACTCAAGCAGGCCAGGGAGCCTCAACTCTGGCTTCCCTTAGGAGCAGTGACAAACAGCAGCTCTCTTTAGCCAGCCATGGACCAGGACCTGGGAGGGCTGCCTGAGAAGGAAGGCAATATTCAGTGAAAACAGACTCCAGAGATGGAGACAGACCAAGGAACCAAGCCTGTTGTCTATGTTAGAACACCTGGAGCAAGCCATGCCTGAAGCCAGCCCCCTGGACACTCTGGTTCTGTGAGCTTAGGAATTCCTGTTTTTCACTCAGGCTAGTTGGAATGGGGTTTCTGTGACCTGTCACCAAGAGTTCTGCTTAACACATCCTTTTGTGCCCAGCATGGCAGGAGATGCAAAGGCAGAGACAGGAAACAGGAACGTGTTTCCTGCCCTCCAGTAACTTTAAACCAACCAAGCAGAGCTGCCCACCCCGCCAGTGCACAACCACATGCCGACCTGTGCAGTGTGGGCTACAATTCCTGCAGGGTCTGGGAAGAGAGCGGAACCCCAGAAGGCCAGGTGAGAGGAGGCAGCTTCCAAAGGCGGAGGCCTGGAAAGGCACCCCCTACAGCCCTTCAACACTCCGCTCCCATCTTTTCTTTTCAGAAGAATTCCTCTCCCATCCTCTGGACCAACAGGAACCTGGGGCGGGGCAGCCACAGAAACTCAGGCCACCAAAGAGGATTTAGCCACACGGATGACTGGGAACATTCCTGATGGAATTATGCAGAAACAGACACCAGATCACATTCACAATCTCCTTCCACCGTTACAGAAAAACCTACAGCATTTCCTCCAGGTGGGGAGAGAGCAAAAGGATGAGGGATCAGCCACCAGAGTGAGACTGGCTCCCATCCCTCCCCTTACAGGGGCCCCCCTCCACTCACAGGGACCCTCTCCTCTCACAGGGACCCCCTCCTCTCACAGGGGCCCCCCTCCACTCACAGGGACCCCCTCCTCTCACAGGGGGCCCCCTCCTCTCACAGGGGCCCTCCTTCCTCTCACAGGGGACCTCCCTCCTCTCACAGGGCCCCCTCCTCTCACAGGGGCCCTCCTTCCTCTCACAGGGGCCCCCTCCTCTCACAGGGGACCTCCCTCCTCTCACAGAGGACTCCCCTCCTCTCACAGGGGACCCCCTCCTCTCACAGGGACCCCCTCCTCTCACAGGGGCCCCCCTCCTCTCACAGGGGACCTCCCTCCTCTCACAGAGGACTCTCTTCCTCTCACAGGGACCCCCTCCCCTCACAGGGACCCCCTCCTCTCACAGGGGCCCCCATCCTCTCACAGGGCCCCCCTCCTCTCACAGGGGACCCCCTCCTCTCACAGGGCCCTTTCCTCTCACAGGGGACCCCCTCCTCTCACAGGGGACCCCCTCCTCTCACAGGGCCCCTTCCTCTCACAGGGGACCTCCCTCCTCTCACAGGGCCCCCTCCTCTCACAGGGGCCCTCCCTCCTCTCACAGGGGCCCCCACCTTGTCACACCTGCTTCCTTCCTAATGGCCTGTATGTCCTTGATGGAATTTCATGTGGACGATCTGTCTAAAAGGCATCCTAGGCCAGGGGCAGTGGCTCACGACTGTAATCCCAGCACTTTGGGAGTCCGAGGCAGGTGGATGACTTGAGGTCAGGAGTTCAAGATCAGCCTGGCTAACAGGGTGAAACCCTGTCTCTACTAAAAATACAAAAATAAGCCGAGTGTGGTGGTGAGCACCTGTAATGCTTCTCAGGAGGCTAAAGCTGAAGAATTGCTTGATCCCAGGAGGTAGAGATTGCAGTGAGCCAGGATCACGCCACCACACTCCAGCATGGCTGGTAGAGTGAGACTCTGTGTCAAATAAATAAATAAATGGTGTCCTGACAAACATTAGGGAGTGACCATCCCAGCACCACCGCCTGCCCCACCCATGGATACTCCCTCCTGGCTCCTCTTGCAGAAGAGTTCTCTGCTGCAGTCTGGCCTGCGCCCTGGTGAAGCCTCCCTCCCTCCCCACCTCCCTCCCACCATCTCTGGGAAGCTCTTCCCAACTTCTCCAGGCAGGAAGCTTTAAGGGAAATTTTTGCTTCCTGCAGTAGAATGAGGAGGCAAAGTCAGAATTTATTGACTTATTTTAAAAATGCAGAAATGCAAAAATTCCTCCCACAAGTGACTTTGTGGCCATGACTCAGCCCTGACGACAAACCCTCAGGCGTTCCAACGCGCAGCGGGGCTGGGCCCGCCCCACCCAGGCCAGGTCACAGCTCCACTCCCAGGAGAGCCCTGTGGTCACCAAGATTTTGGCAGATGGGTGACCACCCGCCACCTGCCTCCCCCAAAATCTTCTCTTGCTGGGGGCTCAGGAATGACCGCTGGGGGTTGGGAGGTGATGGGTACCTGAGCCCCTTCCTGGAATAAGAGAAGTGGACGTTGGCTGGTGCAAGCCGGGTGCCCAGCACCCTTGCCCTCACTGTGTCACCAGTGGGCACCACATGCCTGTATTTCACAGGGGAGGACATGACTCAGAGAGCAGAAGCAGTGGGCCTAGGCGGGCAGCCATTAGCAGCAGACTTGGCATGCTCACCAACCAGCCACCTGGAGCCAACCATCATGGGTACTGCATCAAGGTCAGGCATTTGAGCCGGGCATGGTGGCTCACACCTGTAATCCCAGCACGTTGGGAGGCCAAGATGGATGGATCCCTTGAGCCGAAGAGTTCAATACCTGCCTGGGCAACATAGTGAGATCTCATCTCTACAAAAAAATTTAAAACTAGCCGGGTGTGGTGGTACGTGCCTATAGTCCTAGTTACTCGGAAGGCCAAGGCAGGGGGAGGGCATGAGCCCAGGAGTTGTAGGCTGCAGTGAGCTGTGATTGCAGCATTGAACTCCAGCCTGGGCAGCAGAGAAGCCCCACCTCCATTTTAAATAATGGCAGTAATAACAAAGGTCAAGGGTAGAAAGCTCAGCCCTCAGCACACAGAGGAAGTGAACAGGTAGGTGCAGATGACCAGGGCCCAGCCTTCACATTATCCACAAGTGCCCCCGCCCACCCAGTCCTACACAAGGCTGACGACGTCCTTCTCTGGGGAATGCCACCCCCTCCTCCAAGAGAGCCTCCCTGGTGCCACCCCAGTTAGAGGCCCCCATCACACATGCATTCTTCAGAGCATCCCCCCATCAGCTCCTTTCCTGGGACCCCCCCCCCGGTCACCATCTGCCCCCGCGCCAGTGGGCTGTAACCTCACGGGGACATGGACCATGCTTGGTCCCAGCCACGGACATCTCCCCACCCCCTGGCAGAGGGTCTGGCCCAGAGCCATAGCTCACTGCTAAGTGCATCAGCCGCTCCAAGAACACCTCCCGAGATGCTCTCTGGGGCAACGGGAATTTGCGCCAAAGCCCAGTAGATGTCAACAAACTCTCGTGGATCGGCTGGTCAGCGGGTCCTACCTGGTCTCCTTCCCTGCTCTGATCATGCTGAAAACCAGACCCACAGCACGGAGGTGAGTGAGCAGACATGAAAAAACAGCTTGGAAGTGATCTCAAAACGTGAAGGTCAGCACCTGCACTTCAGGCCAAAAAGGGGCCAAACCCACCCAAAGCAGTCTACGAGGGGACAGCCTTCCGCACCGTAGAGCGGGCCCAGAAGCCGGCCTCACGCTGGGGTCCTGGCAGGGGCCGCTTCCAGCGGGGGAGGCTGGGAGCTTCCCAAAGAGAGGGGCGCCTGGCCTGGCTCTCTACACAGCCTCCCAAGTCCTCTCACTCCAGAGGCCACAAGTATCTCAAGACCCCAGGATGGGCCAGGCCACCCAGAAGCTGGGATGGAGTCAGAGCCCCAGGATACAAATACATGAAGGGAAGCCAGGCCCAGGGTGAGGGCACAGCAGCAAGTCCTCAGAGATGAGACCCAGGGGATGTTTTCAGGCCCTGAAGGACAGGGTGACCGAGCCAGCTGAGGAGGGGGCATCTGAGCAGACGTTGGCTGCCCAGGCCGAGCCCTCCGTGTGATGTGCTCTCACCTACAACAACACAGGTCAGTCTCCTTTCCCTCCTAGGGAAGAGAAAGACGACGCTCCACGAGGTCCACAGCTTGCGGGGCCACGTGGGACCCGGGGGCAGCAGAGTAGAGGGGCTGCCTCCGTGGAGGGTGGAAGTGTGGTCGGGGTGAGAGAGGCAGGCAAGGGCCCCTGGAGCCTGCTGGAAAGGTGGGGCCCTCCACACACCGCCAACCCTGGGCCAGGGCTAGGTGAGCCAGGCTGGTGGCACACAGACCAGGCAGACCTCCCAAACGGGTCACGAAGCCTCTCCGAGTCCCTCTCTGTGCTCAGAAGACTCGGACCAGGGCCCCGGGCAGAGGTAGCTCTCTGTGGGCTCCCCTATAAGACTAGAAAGAGCGTGCCTGATGAACAGGAGACAAGGCAGTGCAACCCCATAAAAACTTGGGGACCAGGGGACCCTGTGCAAGGGAGGGCTGAGGGAGACACAACTAGGGCCAAGCCAAGTCAAGCCCTGGTGTCCTGCAGGGACTGGCCCTAGGACAGGGAGAGGATGGAGCTGCAGCCCCGTGCCCACGAAACAGCCATGGTCATCCCTGCCTGCGCTGCCCAGGTTCACAGAGCGGATCTTTCACTGGCCTGTCCCACATGCCTAGCACAGTCTGGCACACAGGGGGCCTTAGAAAATGTGTCTGCAGAGAAAGAAAGGGCAGAGGCCAGAAGACCAGCCCTGCCTCCCCCACTCCCTTCTAAGCCCCTGCCTGCCAATAATCCCCAAAGTCTTCAGCCCACAGCACCCACCCGAGGCCGTTTGGAAATGCCATAGGAAGCAGGAACCCTGTAGGGGCTGGAGGGATGTGGGCAATTCGTGTCCCAACATGCCCTATGGATGGCCTCCAACCCCCACCGGCCCCAGCTCAGAAGCTAATGTGGCCAGCACCAACCCCCTTCTGCACGTCCCGGGCAGTGAGGAGGCCAGGGAGGGAGCTAGGGGCCACCTCGGTGTCCCCAGCTGGGCTTCTTTGCCTTCCTGGGCCAGGCTGGCTCCCTCCTAGGGCCAAGAGACACTGGGGGAGGTGGGATCCTGGGAGAAGCTGCCCAAAAGCTCCCTCCCTGCCCCGGCCAAGTCCCAGAAGTTTCGGATTTCCTTGTCACTGCCCGGCCCGGCCCTCCGCTCAGCCTCCGGCGAGATGGAAAGAAATTCCGTCTTGATCTTAAGAAGTGAGCATTCCAGGCAATAATTCATATCAGGAAACTTGTGAAAAACCACATGTCAACGAGAAATACTTTCTTTAAAAGTCAAGTGGGGGCACTGAATGTTTCATGAAATATGCTGGGCTTTGTTCCACTTTAGCTAACTATTCCGGACATGGGAAGAAACCGGAACCCCCAGAGAAAGAGAAGACACATTATGACGAGGGGCGACAGTGCTGTCTTCCCTGGCACTGAGAAGCTCGCTCCCACAGGGCTCAGCAGCCTCCCTCCCTCCTGCACCTTCACCTCAGTGGGGAGGGGTCCTGCCAGCCCTGGTGTGGAGGAGGGAACAGAGGCCTGGGGGACAGGGGAGCGGGCCTCAGCTCAGAGCCAGGCACAGCCCACTGAACCTGCCTGCCTCCAGGAGCGTGAACTGTCTGGCCACGGTGGCCGCCACACTCCAGCCCAGCAGCTGGGTCCTGGCCAGGCGCTGGGTGAACGCAGAAAGCAGCCAGTGACTCACCTCGGCTCCCGGCCCAGGCTGTGTGGGCGGAGGGGCTCGGTGGGGCCAGAGCAAGCCTTCCCAGCCAGCGCTCAGCACTGCGCCTTCCAGCCTTCCTCGGAGGGACGTGCTGATGTGAATTGGAAGAAAAGGCATTCACAGATACAGAATGAAAAGCAAGGCCCCACCCGTGGACAAAGGCCATTTTGGGGGCTCCCTCCATAGAAAGTGCCCCCCACTGCCCACCAAGAACTCAGAAACTAGTGATTCCTCTGAAGCTGGCCCAGAGAGGAGGCTGAGCGCAGTGCTGGCGTAGATAGACGGATGAGCGGGGAGCAGGTGGGCAGTGCATTTCCACCAGAAAGCCTAGGTTTCTCCAAAGCCGCCCTCCCCTTGGAAAGCCCTCCCGTGGTTCAACCTACCCCAAGTCATTTGTCTTTGTTGAAAGAGGAGCAAACCCATCTCGTGGGTTTCTTGTTTTGTCTTGTTTTGTTTTGCTGGGTGAGATGAGGCTGGGATCATCGAGGATGCTATTTAAATGCCCTGACTTAACTTGGGAATGGGTGTTTTCCCACCACGGAGCACCTTGGCTCCTGGCTGACCCAGTGGCCTGGTCAGGGAGGCGTGGGCATCACCAGGGCCTGGCCGCACAGCCACAAGCATGAGTCAGAGGCTGCTAGACCGCTTCCCCTCTGCCCAGGACTCCTCTCAGGCAAGAAACAAATCTGTCTCTCTGGCAGCCAGCTCTCTTCTCTGCAGATATGTGCCATAATCCCCACCCCACAGGGAAGAGATTAATTAGCATGTTAAAGAGCTTCCCAGGTTACTCGAGGAGCCGGCAGCAGGCCAGGGAGCCCAGCTCCTCACTCACCAGCTCTGCGAGGACAGAGAGACTCGACTCTACTTCCCCAGATTCCCCAGCAGGGAAGCTAGACCGCTGAGCTTCAGGATCCGTGACCTCCCCCAGCTCCTCCTTTCAGAACTCCCCAGTGTTTACTGAGCATCTGCTAAGCACCAGGTGATGGGGAGCAACAGAAAATGAAACACACTGAAGCCCCTGCGCCCCTGGACTCCACACCCTTAGTGGGCTGAAGGCGACTAGAGAGGAGGCCTGGGGAAGATGGGGACACTGGGGCAGGGCAGAGGGGACAGGGCCAGGGAGGGATGCATCATTCCCTCGGGGTCCATCTGTCCCCATCTCAGCCTGCCAGCCGAGTCCTACCTCACATGGCATTATCTCTTATTTCTTATTTATTTATTTATTTAGAAATGGAGCCTCGCTCTGTCACCCAGGCTGGAGTGCAGTGGAGCAATGTCAGCTCACTGCAACCTCCGCCTCCCAGGTTCAAGGCAATTCTCCTGCCTCAGCCTCCCAAGTAGCTGGGATTATAGGTGTGCACCACCACACCTCGCTAAATTTTTTTGTATTTTTAGTAGAGCAGGCATTTCACTATGTTGCCCAGGCTGGTCTCAAACTTCCTGACCTCAGGTGATCCACCTGCCTCAGCCTCCCAAAGTGCTGGGATTTCAGGTGTGAGCCACCGAGGCCGGCCTCACAGCGTTATTTCCACATGCCCCTGATTCTCTCTGCAGGGGCCCATGAACTCACATGGAGAAACAATGACCTCTTTATTTTCAACCCCAGCTGAAAGTAGGCATTTCCTTCCATTATGAAGTAGGTGACAAGTCGCAAATGCATCATCACCTGTTGGTGACACCCAGGTATGTGACCAACAGACATACCTGGGTGTCACCAACAGAAATCACAGGTATCTCCAAGGCCAGGTCACAGTTGTTACTGATCTCAAAACACTGTTTACACTCAGCACAACTTCAAAACTATGGAAATCACCACCCCTGCTGCTAGTGGTTATGGAACTGTTAACTGAAGACATTGGTTTCAGTATTTGGATGAATATCAGAATACGCCGTTGCCACGGAACTGTGGACCTCTGGATCTATACTTTGTTTATGTTAATTATAGCTCCCGTTCTGAGAAAGTTTCATGAGCTTCTCCAGGATTGAGGCGGGCAGGAGTCACAGCACAGGGAGAACTAAGAACCCCTGTGCCAGTTTGGGGTCCCCAAAGCCAGATAACCCCTGGGTGTGTGTCCCTTGTTCCACCCAAGGAACCTAACCCAGAGCCAGGCACACAGCAGCTGCCTGACGTCATAATGTGGCAGCACACAAAGTGGACGCCCAGAAGGCCTATTTGATGGTCATATGAAAAATCAGAAAATAAACTTGGCTGGAGTTAAGTGGTATCGATGGGAATAAATTGAGAAAAACATAGGGTTTTTATTGAGTGCTTTATTTTTACAGAGTGAAAATTGAATTACTTAACTGGTCAATGAGGTAGTCAGTTGGGAATAGTGCCTAAAAGCGGAGGAGGAGGAGAAATGGGCTTGAACTTGGAACGCAAACTGTTACCCTGAGCAAGCTCAGCAGCGCCGAGCGATGCCTCCCGGAATGGCTTCCTTTCCCACCCTGGGCCCGGCACCAGTACCGCCTGCTTCTGACTTCCCAAGGCTGACGGATCTGGATTTCCTGGGCTCAGAAAGCCCCTCGTTGGGTCACAAGTGGCAGAATTCAGAGGTTTTAAGAACAGAACAGAGAAAAGTGACTCCCATGACGCAGCCTTGCCGCTGTGTCCCTTCTAGGCCCGGGGTCGTCTGAACGCCATGCATGTTTCTCTTCCTGCGCATTTCCTTGGGGTGCAGCTGTGCTATTGACCGGCAAGTGAGAAAAACACAAGGCAGCCACGAGAGTGAGAAAACCTCAGGCTTGGTCAAAAACATAAGCCAGGCACGGTGGCTCACGCCTATAATCACGACACTTTTAGAAGCTGAGGAGAGTGGATCGCTTGAGCTCAGGAGTTCAAGACCAGCCCAGGCAATACAGCAAAACCCCATCTCTACTAAAAAATACAAAACTTAGCCAGATGTGATGGCATGCACCTGTAGTCCCAGCTATTTGGGAGACTATATTGGGAGGTGAGAGAATCACTTCAGCAGGGAGGTTGTGGCTACAGTGAGCTGGGACCGTACCATTGCACTCCAGCCTGGGCAACGGAGCAAACCAGGTCTCAAGAAGAAAAAAAAATTCACATAGCATTACTTATGATAACAACCATATGATTGCAATCCCACCTCCGGGCATTTACCCAAAAGGACTCAAAGCAGGGACTCAAAAAGGCGTCTGCATACCCATGTTCACAGCAGCCTGATTCACACGAGCGAAAAGGTGGAAAGAACCCAGATCCATCCGCAGATGCATAAAGAAACGATGTGTTCTATCATACCGTGAAATATTACTCAGCCATAAAAAAGGAAGGAAGTTCTGACACCTGCTGCAGCCTGGGCAAACCTTGAGGACATGATGCTGAGTGAAATAAACCAGATGCAAAATGACAAATGTGTACAGTTCCACCTCTATGAGAGCAAATTCATAGAGACAGAAAGCAGACTGTGAGTGCCAGGGGCTGGGGGAGGGGCGGGTTGGTTTTTAAGAGGGCGGAGTTTCAGTTTGGGAAGGTGGGAATGTAGGGGAGGAGAATGACGGTGGCATCTGCACGACAGTGTGCATGCATTTCATGCCCCCAGGACCATACGCTTCAAAAGCATTAAAATGGCGAATTTATGTTACATATGTTTACCACAATTTTAAAAATAGTAATAAAGAAAAAAGAATTTTAAAAAGAAGTCAGACAAGAGTGAAGGAAATCAAACGAAACCACATCTCAGATCCTCGCTAGCTGCGTGACGGGGGGCAAGTCCTCCCGCCACGCCGAACCTTATTGTTCTACCACTGAAAAATGCACATAATCATGGTATCGCCTGAGTAGGTCTCTCTCCAGGAGCAAATGAGGCAGTGGGTGTGATGTCCCTGACGCGGCATCCAGCACCTCGATGGGGGCCGTAATTATTAACTTTATTATTACTGATCAGGAGTGCTATGTAAATAGTGAGGGATTATTATTATCAAGTAACATTACATCAGAAGCAGAAGCTTCGAGGTGATCCTAACCGCCGGATCTCCCCGCTGAGGCCTGGGAGATGCTATCTCCACTTCTGATGCTTCGGAAATATGCACAGCGAGGAAGCCTCATAAAGAATTCTTTCTGAATTAAAATTGATCTGAATGGAAGCGGCCACACTCTGCCTGGCTCTTTTCTTTCTTTAATTTGAACTTCGTTTATCTCTGGGCATCGGGAAATGGCGCCGTGCACGAGGTGCTCGGCATGAGGGAAGGCGAGCTCAACACTGCAGGAAATTATCTGCTTTTGCAAGAAAATTACTAAGGGAGGAGAATGCTGTTATTTTAAGATCTTCGAGCTGGTGTGAGAAGGAACTAATTAAATGATTGTATTTTCTGTGCAAATACAGTAACTAACTGCTACGGAAAGGCAAAATCAGAAAGAACTGTTTCCACCTCGAAAGGACATTGGAGTTTCTTCCAGTCTTCCGAGGGAGTCCTCACTCACTCAAGTATCCCTATTCCATGTTTTAATAACAAACGGAGCTTCACTGCAGTAGAGGTGGCGAGCACCACATGCAGCCTGTGAAGCTTCCCGAGTCATGAGGCTGAACGGAAAAGGCTTTGCTGCTGCCCTCAGCGGGCTGTGAGCAAGTTTCCTGAGCCTGTGTTTCACAACCTCACAGAGCAGATTAGGAATAGTCTGCGCTCGTGGGAACCTGCCGGGGATGGAGAGACCGGTACAGGGCATTCCCATCCCCACCGTCCACTTAGACTGAAAGGCCCATGGCTGCACTTCGTTCACACCCAGAACGGGGCTTTCCAAGAAAAAGCAGGATGTGAACCCGTGCAGAACAGGTGCCTTCACCCTTCCAATGCTACCAATGGAGACCTTGCCCTCCCAGGGGCCTGAGCCAGAGGTCTCTGCTCCCCGGGCTTCCAAAAGGGGAGGAAGTCATTCAGGAACGGCAGCTGTGGCCCCAGCAGGCTTCTCAGGTCATCGGTAGCTTTGAAATCCACAGAGCACCCACCCGAACCCGGGACTTGGGAGGGGCAAGGACAAAGTTCTCTGGAGAGAACCTATAAATAACTCAGACTTTGGAGTCTGAAAAAAGACAGACAAGGCGGCCCCCAAGAAGAAGACAACTTACAAGCTCCCATCAGTTTCTTCCTGCGCCGGAAAAGGCACAGGGAGTCTTTGCAGCTGATTCCCGGCGGATCTGCCCGTCCCTCCAGCCTGCGCTCCCTTATATCATCTGAGCAAGTCTTAGCCGGACTCTGAAAAATCACCGTAAAATAAAGTGACAGCTCGGCCAAGAGACCCACACAAGCGCTGGACTGCCTTCTCATATGAGGGGCGTGCCGAGGAATGAGGCTGATTTACGACCTCTTTAGAATACTCTCAGGAACCTTCACGCAACTACAAATTCAATCGCCCTTCATTGAAGGAAAAGTGGATTTGTGAAATGTGCGCAGCAGCTTCATTAGCAGGGCTGTCTACGCCTTCGAGCCAGGCTTCTCGATCAGCGAAGGAGTCTCCGCTCTGCCCAGGAGCGCTCCAGGCTGCTCAGGCCCCCAGGCCTCACCTTCAGCCTTAACATTCTCACCATCCCAGCCTCCTCCTCAGCCCGGACTCTGCTCATCCTTCAGGGCAGCTCCGTCTTCGCCTCCTCCAGGAAATGTTCCCAGACTTCCCCAGCACAGATTCACGCAGCACCTAGAACTCGCTGGGATGAATTCCTGTCCAGTCCCAACTTTTCACCCAGGCAGGGGCCAAGTTTCACTTTGCCCCTCACCATATTCTCAGCACCTAACAGTGCTGGGCGCACAGAGAAGCTCGGTAAATAGCTGAGCCCAGCAGCTACCATGGGCCAGGCCTTGAGCTACTTTCAAGAAGACAGTGAAGACGCAAATAAGGTCAACACTCTTAGGAAACAAGACGAAGGAGGACATTGGTGGGTCAGCTGGCCAGGCCCCCCATCCATGGAGCCTGCGGCCCCAGCACTGGCCTGACGCAGAAACCACAATCCTTGTTTGACAGACAAGGAAAAAGGCTCCGAGAGGTTCAGTCCTCATCTAAGAGTGAACAGCAGGCACGGGTAAGATCAGCTATGCTTGAAGCTCAGCTCCCATGGAAATCTGCCTCCTTAGTCCAGATTACTCGGAGCCTGAGGCTGGAGGATCACTTGAGTCCAGGAGTTCTGGACTGTAGTGTGCTATGCCGATCGGGTGTCTGCACTAAGTTCAGCATCAATGTGGTGACCTCCCGGGAGCCAGAAACCACCAGGTTGCCTAAGGAGGGGTGAACCTGCCCAGGTCAGAAATGGAGCAGGTCAAAACTCCCGTGCTGATTCACAAGTGGGATTGCACTTGTGAATAGCCATTGCACTCCAGCCTGGGCAACATAGTGAGACCCCATCTCTTGAAGAAAAAAAAAGAGGGCTGCAGTGAAGTTCTTAGGCTGGGAATTCCAAAGTCTCTTCTACGTCATTCAGTCTCCATTCATATAAATAAAATACAAATTAGCAAATGTGTACTAAACACAAGCAATGTCAGGATTGGTGATGACCTTGGAGATGGTCTGGTCCTGGCACTCATTCTACAGATGGGGAAACAGGCCTGGGGAAGCGTGGGTACATGGGTGGCCAGCATGATGGGAAGGGAGGGGTGAGCACCCAGCTGAGTGCTGCAGGTGGAAGACCTAGGGTTCCCCAGGGAGGAGAGGGAAGGCAGCACCAGTGTTTTGGAGGGCAGGGGAGGGGCCCAGGGATCAGAGCCAGAGGCCATGAGGAGCAGCATGGAGCGCAGCCCTGGCTCCAGCGGGGGTCTGGGCTCACAACCACAACTCTGGACCCCTCAGGCAGCGCCTGGTGGTCCCGCTTCCCACCCCAAGCTGGAAGTCCCTGCTGCATGGACATTGAGCCTTCTTTTCAGCACTTCCAGCAAGTGGGGACCGGGCCTCCAGAGCAGCATGCACTTGGGGCAGCTGAAGACAGCGCAACCTCACCCCCAGCTCTGCACTTCCCCACCAGAGGGGTGCGCTTCCAGCCCAAAGCTGGCTTCCATCCCATAACCCCTCCTACTCACAGTCCCCGGGAGTGTCAGCCCCTCAGGCGAGGACCCAACAGGACAGGGCACCTTAGGTCAGGTGAACTGATTTCAGGGAGAGGGGCAGTGGGTTTGGGAGGTTCTCAGGGTCCTCAGAAGTGACAGGAACAGAGCAGTACTTGAGGAGGTGCACAGAGAGGGCAGAATATAGGGGGAGCTACAGTCAAGGTCTCACCTGTTGGACTTGGATGAGAACACACACCAAAGCAGCTCCCCACCCCAAAAGCCAGGGAGTGGGTCTGTGCAGGCCCGCCCAGAGCAGCAGCCTCCCTAGGACCCCAGCCAGGAGACAGCATGGCAGGAGCCCCCTCAGAGAGCCCCGGCTTCCCAGCACGGGCAACGGCCACAGGCAGCCCCCACCAGCCCCACCCGCCCTCTACACCCCAGAGATCTCTGCTGCTCCCCTCAGCCCCGCCTCCCAGCCTTGCCAGTCGTCCTTATCCTCCTTCCCCTGTGGCCCAGGTGGTCCCTCCCCAGGTGAGCCGAGCCTCCCCTGCCCCACCTTGTCCTCCCTGCACCTGTGCCTCAACACCGGCCCCACCTCACTCCTCGTGAATTGCATCCCTGGGGCTCTCTGCCTTCACCCCACTTTGGACCACAGGCATTTCAAGAGGAGGAGCCATCCCGCTGACTCCAGGCCCTTCCTCCGCACCCTGGGCTGACACCTAAAACACGATGACCCAACTAGGGCCCGAGTTGAGAGAGAGCACAGCCCCCATCCTCCCAGCCCAGAGGAGAATCAGGACGGGGACTTCTGCCCAGTGCACCCAGCAGAGCCTGTGGGTAAGCACCCAGGGTAAGCACCCATGAAACGAGGTCTGCGACTGATCTGGAGGCAAATGTGAGGCCACGTGGAGGTTTCTGGGCACAGCACCCTCCCCTTCTTGCTGGGGGCTCTCAACCCATGCTCTGAATGGCACGTGACCAGGGTGAGGGCAGAAGACCTGGGTCACCTCGCGAGCCTGCGGTTTGCACGCCAAGACTTCCCTAGACTGGGCACGCCCTGCACATGTCCCCACATGCTGCCGCCTCTCTCCACACGGAGTCCTGGCTCCCTCATCATTCTTCATCCAGCCGCCAGGCCCAGGGTCCCAGACAGGTTTGTACCGCCAGCAGCCAGCACCTGACAGCAAGTGTGACAAGCACTCGGCCCTGGTCACCACGTCCCTTGACCTCTGCCTGCTTCTGTCTCTCTCCAGGTGGCCGCTGGACACCCTTGATGATGAGCTGTCACGACAGAGACAGAGGCCCAGCACCCGCAGGCTGATCAGCCACAGCTCAGCCACCAGGGGCCACATCTCGGGCTCCAACCCAGCCCCCACCCCAAACCCTGGGAGGCCCGCACCGTGGTAGCCTAGATACCACTCAGGACAGAGAGAGGTGTGCAGAGCTGGGGCAGCCACGTCCTGTGCGTCCAGCCACCCGCCTCTCTCCGACCCACTCTCCTCTTCCCTCAGCCCCTCCACGGTCCTGCCCAAGCCTCCCACTGGCAGCAGCTTCCCCCTGAGCCTCTGTCCAGATGCCTCACCCTGCGGCCCTCAGCAGCCCCATCCCCCGACTGCCTCTAGGGCTGTTTCGTGATATCATTCGATGAGCTCCCGCTGTGGGCCCGGCTCTGATCCGAGCACTGTACCAGGAAGATCTCACTTCACCTGCACCACAAACCTACGAGCCTTCACTTCTCACCTTTTCAAGACATGGTCACTGAGGTTCAGAGAATGTAGTCCATTTGCCCTGGATGCCAGAGCCAGAGAGGGGCAGGGCCAGGATACAGACCCGGGCAGGCTGCCTCCGAATCTCCACTGACTCCAGTGTCCACCACCCCTCCCTGCCGCACGGACTCTTCAGCCTTGCATCTGGGGTCCATCCGGAGCTGACTTTTTTACAAACTCGTGTCTCCTTGCCCAATGCATTCACTTTCACTTTATGTGACACAAGCGTACCTTCCGATTCCTACTGCCCAGACCTCGCTCAAGCTAGAATGTTGTTTTCTGGAATGTTCTCCATCTGCTATGTACTCCACCTACTCATTCTTTAGGGCAGCCTTGATGCCACCTCTTCCGAGCAGACTTCCCTGATTTCCCCATCAGCATTATCAGGGGAGGGTGACACTCAGCCCCTTATAGCCTAGCTGTTTATGTCCATCTCTTGCCTCCCACTAGACTACTCTGAGCTCCACTACTAAACTCAGGGGATACAAAGGAAGCTGAGACCCCTTCCCTGCTATCAGGGTCTCAACTGTGTCCCACCCCCCACCAAAATCCACATGTTGAAGTCCTAATCCCTTGCACTTCATAATGTGACTGCATTTGGAAGCAGGGTCTTTAAGAGGTAACTAGGTTAAAATGAGGTGGTTAGAATCAGCCGTGACCCAATACGACCGGTGTCCTTACAAAATAGGCAACGAGGACACAGACACACACAGAGGGAAGACCTCGTGGAGACATGGGAGCAGGTGGCATCTGCAAGCCCAGGAGAGAGGCCTCAGAAGGAACCAACCTGGACAATGCCTTCATCTCCAACTTCCAGCCTCCAGGACTGAGAGAGAACACATCTGTTGTTCCAGCCACACAGTCTGCGGCACTTTGCCCGGGCACCCCTAGAAAGCACATTCACCTGCCCTCAAGGATGTCGGCACCTGGCAGATGTCATGATGGAATTCTCACGCCACTTGAGAGAGGCCTTGGGAGCTACAGTCGAAGAAGCTGCCACCGACCATTGGCTCTTGACCTCTTAACTCAGAGGAACAAGTTTCACAAGCTCTGCTGATGTGCAGCTCTAGTTCCCTGGGTATAAAACATACACAAATATCAGATTCATCCAGACTGCAGAACAGAGGCGTGGGTATTCTGCTCAGAATCACCTCTGCATTCAACTCCCTTGGATACCACCAACCATGTACGCGCTGCACAGAGCAGATTTGAAAAATGGGCAGAGGGAGGGGAGGGAGAGGGGAGGAGGATGGAGGTGAGAAGGAGGGGAGGAGAGGGAGGGAGGAGGAGGGGTAGGGGGAGGGGGAGGAGAGGGGAGGGGAAGCGTTGGGAGAGGGAAGGGGAGGGGTGGGTGATCTTCTTGGGGACCAATGACAGAGGCGAACAAAGTGGACCTGGCTGCAGGAAGCTCACGTTCAAGGCAAAGGCTACATTTGGCTTCAAAGTTGAGGATCAAGTGCCTTGTGGGAAGGAGCCCAGGTGAGCTGTGTTTAAAATAAGCACAGTAAGCCCACGATTTCCCAGAAACATTAAGAACAGGACGGGGCACGGCACATTCCCCATAGGGACAACATGAAAACGCAACCCCAGAGGCCGAGAGCCACACTCTGGAACATTCGTCCACCTCAAATAGCACCGCCGCCTCCAAGGGCAGCTCCGGAGACACAAAACCCAAGCCGTGTGCGCGCAGCCCACTCTGCATCCGTAAAAACGCAATACCTCTTGGTTTCAAGGAAACATTAAGTTCACACCGAACGATTTTTTCCTGCAGCTAAACGTCAGACGGGGAGGCAGTGTTTGAACTTCCAAGCAAGTCCCCTTCTCTGTCTCCATGGGAGCAGGCAGAACCAAGCCACTGGAAGGAAACTTGTGTAAAATTCACGGAGCTGCAGCGACGGGGGCTGAAATCCTGGGACTCCTTCCTGTGGGATGCTCTCAAATGCCCTGTTTTAAAGTCCATCCCCCTCATCAAATGCTCCTGTTAATTTTGAAGAACACCTGATATGGTAAACACTGTTCATGTTGACATCTGCAGAGGGCGGTGAGCAAGCAAGGACATACAACTCGAGGAAGGCTGCTCAGCACGCCAGCCCTGTGCGTGTCCGTAGCTTTCAGGCAGACGTGAAACCCACTGCCAAATCCTGGCTAAAGTCTTAGTCCTGTGCTTGCAAGGTGGGACTAGAGGGAGCAGAGCACATGTCTAAGACACGTCGTGTGCTGAGAAGACAATACTACGCCCGCAACAAGTACTGGGGAAAGGATTTTTTCTTTAAGAGCAGTTTTACTTAGTCAGCTCGAGGTAACAGCCTTCTCGCCTCTTCTGAGTTTTCTCAGGAGAGATGAAACTCCTACAGCCTCAGCTGCTCCCCGAGGTACAGGATGATCAAGTGTTCCCCGACTGCCCAGTCCGGAGAATGGGTGTGTGGGAGGCAGCAGTGGAAGGTGGTGAAGCCCAATGCCTAGTCCAGCGTCTGACCCCACAGACGCCCACACTCACTACTCACAATGGGGGCATGCTGGCTTCTGCTTCCTGAGTGTTTGCTAAGTGTCAGGCTACGCCCGCTGTGCCACACCCCACCCCTGCCCCAGGCCTCACGCTGGCCGGAGGACATGCATCCCTTAAAGCTTCTCTCTGGTTCCTTGGACTTTCTGTCCCCTGCCCGCAGTGAGGGTGCAAGCCCACCCAGTCACAGAGGAGTCACCCAACCCAGCTGCTGCCCTCAAGGAGCAAAGCCACGTGCATGGGCTCCTCTGACAGCCCCCACCCTAGTGCCCATCCCTGCTGGCCCAAGCTCCCTCCTCAACTCTCTCCCAGGAAGCTCCCCTACACCCAGACTGTGAGGTCAGGATGGGGACAGGCTGGTTGCCAGCCTATGCGGAAGACAGCTAGCCTGCCCCCTGCCATGGGGCTCCTCCACCCCCTCCCCAGAAAGCTAAATGACGAAGGGGCAGGAGCAAGCTGCAGGATCAACCGCCTAGGCAGACGGGGTGGGGTTAGAGAGTTCCAGCCCTGCAGGATTTGCTTCTCGTGTTTATTTGGTCCTTTGAGCTCTTAGTTTCTGGGTTACCTTTCCACCTGAATTATAGCTTATGATACAGCCGACCCCATTTGTTCACAAGTACACCTGGCATCTGACCCCTCTCTCAAAGTGCAGATGGAGAGGGCACCCTCCAGGGCTCTTCTAGGGAGGGGGCACCTGCCACCTTCCGTAAGTCAGCCCACTCGGCACCCTGACTGCCCCCTGCTGGCACGCTGCACTCAGGGAGCCAGCTCTGCCCTCGGAGGGCTGCTAGTCTGGCTGGAGATGCCAGGAATGACCCAGGACCAGACACTTGGTACCTGCACCCTGATAGCCACCAGCTGGTTGGGGAGCTGGGCTCTAGGCGGACCAAATCCAATCAGTGCTGCCCCTGCCCCAACATATTCATCTGCCCACCTCATCCCTCCTCCAGCGCAAATCACAGCCACCTGCGAGTAGCCCCAGAAGGCTGGACAGAGATGAGCACCAGTGACTGCCAAAATTATGCCCTTTCCTAGCTGCGGAGACCAGTGCTCCCCACCGCCCAGGCAACCACCTATGCATAGAGGAACACTGGCCCAGCGCTCCCGCCTCGGGACTTTGTAAAGTGAGAAGAGGTGGGGGTTCCTAGGGGACCTGAGGAGACAGCAAGGCACAAGAATGAGGGAAGCCTCCCAGCTCCACTCCCCATACAAATGTGTCCTCCCTGGGAATTCATGGCTGCCCCCTCCCTACCCCAATCCTTCTCTGGAAGCTGCAAAACTAGAGACCCACCCCGAGATGCCCAGGGTGACCTCAGAGTGACCCTCAGCCCTTTTCCTGGGGTGGGGAAGTGAGGCTGAGGCAGCCCCCAGGGGAAGAATCTGAAGGGTCCTGTGCCTCCTGCAGTCACCCCCAAAGGCCAGAGGGGGCAGGATCCGGGAAGGGTAGGCTCTCCAGGCTGTGGGTGGAGGAGCAGGAGGTCCCCAGCAGAGGTGGCAAACTTCCAGCTGGAGCAAAGCCAGAGTGGCCGGGAAGGTGGGGGGAGGGTGGGGAGTTTGCAGTGCCAGCGCCACACGGGTCAGCACAGTGTGGGGATGCCCCGTGGGGTACGCGGGTCCCGGTGCATCCAGGCAGGGCGACCTGCAGCAGGAGCTCAAGGCAACAATGGGTCACACTAGGGGACCCCAGGAAGAAGGGAAACCCAGAAAGCCCAGAGTCCCAGAATAGGATTCAAGCTGACTGGGGGAAGTCCCGGAGCCTGCGGAGATGCCACCGCGGAGTCCCGGGTAGACCAGGGAGGGGAGGATCCCGGAGCCCAGAATCCCAGAAGGTGACGCTCAGCCGGTGGAGCCTGGGGGGTGCTGGATCTAACACAGAGCTGGGGTAACCCTCGAGGACTTGCAGGCTCCCGAAGTCTCTGGGGACCTCCTCGGTAACCCAGGACCTGGAGGCCAGGAGGGAGTCCCCGAGGTGGCCCAGGATCCCGAAATCTGTGGGAATGTCGCCTGCGGTAAGACAGGAGCACGAATCCGAGGACCTCTCCCCAAATAACCGGTGACCTGAGGCCAGTAGGGGCGCCGCCGAGGTGACCCAAGTGCCCAAGTAGCCACGAACGCCCCGGATGACCGCGGGGTGGTAGCGGGTGGGGGCCGCTGCGGTCCCGCCGGAGTGTCCCGCGGGGTCCCGGGCAGGGGCCGCGGCAAGCGCGCGGAGGTCACTTACGCTGCTGTTCTCGCCCGTCCAGTGCACCATCGCCTGGTTGTGCGTCGCGTCCCCCTTGAGCACGAACGACGTGCTGATGAGCGAGACCTGCGCCCGCGAAGCCGCTCCGGCCAGCGGCGCCGCCCGCTCCCAGCGCCGGTTGCCCGCGGCGGGGGCGCCGTCCTCGCCGGGACTCGGAGCGGGACCTGGTCTCGGACCCGGGACGCGGGGCTCCGTGCCGCGCGCCCGCCGGTCCTCGCCGCCACCGGCCTCCGCGCGCCCCGCGGGAGGGCTCCGTGGCACCCGAGTCAGCTGCGCGCGGGGACCCAGGCGCCCGGGCTCGGGGGAGCGCCCCGCCGCCCCGCAGGCGCCCAGCAGCAGCAGCAGCAGCAGCAGCGGCCGCGAGCGCGGCGGCGGAGGGGCCCCGGGGCTAGGGGCTCGGGCGGCGGGGCCGGGGCCCTTCGGGGTACGCGGGGGCCCCCGGTGCGCCATGGTCGCCAGGGGCGGCGGCGGAGCCGGCGGCGGGGCGGCGCAGGCGAGGGGACCGCGGCCGGGAGAGCGGGAGGGCGCTGAGGAGCGCGATCGAGAGCGCAGAGAAAGGAGCCGGCGAGGGGAGGGAGCGGCGGGAGGAGGGGACTCGGCGGCCCCGGCGCCACCCGCGACGCCGAGCGCGCACCGCCACCTGCCGGCCGGCCCGCAGCCCAGACGCTCGCTCGTGGGGAGCCCGGGGTCCTGGAGCGCGGCCCCCACTCCAGGACAAGATCCCTTTCCCAGCGTGGCGCTTCCTCCCGTCCTCCTTCCCCGCTCTCCACCTCTTCCCGTCCTCCCTCCTCTCCGCGTATTTACTGAGCGCCTGCTGTGGTCCAGCCAGGGTTCTGGGGCTCTGGGCTCCCGCTGGGAACAACCAGCCCCCCCAACCCCCCCCCCCGCCAGTCCAGGAGCTGACAGTCTGAGAGAGACAGACCAACCCAAGCGGACATTCACAGGCAAAAGAACCCCCAGAGCTAGAACCAGGGTTCCCCGTGAGGATTATAAAGGGTTCTCCTCCAGGGCCTCTGAAGAGGTGGCAGTGGAGGGGACTGAGGGTCAGGAAGGTCCCTGGGGAGACTGCTGGGGGGGCGGGGCAGTGCAGAGGCCCTAAGGTGTCCTCGGCGGGACTGCCCCAAGGGCAGCCAGGCCTCTGGCTCAGATATCAACTTGTGGTGGCTTCATCTCCCAACCCAGAGACCAAGAGGGAGCTACCCTGAACAGGACAACCCCCTGTGCGGGGAGGCCTGGAAGGAGGCAGAGGGTGAGGTCCTAGACACCTGGCAAGCACAGTGAGGAATGTGGAAACTGAGGCTCGGAGCACAGAAAGTCCCCACTCAAGAGCCCATGGCCACTTTAGTTCAGTAGTGATAAAAATGACTTCACAGAGCACACACCCTGAGTGTCAGACTGGCCTCTGGGAACAGACAAGGCAGGCACTTCTGGAGGCAAGACCAGGGTCAGAGCCTCTGCCAGGCCAGGGCCATCCTGCTCCCCACTTTCCCTCAGAGGCCCTGCACCAGATGGGAGCCCTTGGGCCAGGGTCCCTGTCACACCCCACCTCCCAGCTGGGTCTCTTGGCTCCAGAGAGTCTACTGGGGCAGAGGAGTAAGGCCTCAAACATCTGGGAAAGATGGAGAATTGGGGGGTTCCCTCTGGCCCCCAGAGAATTGGAGCACCCAGCGCCCTCCCCAGGAAATGCCAAATCACTGGGCACAGGCTACCTGCATTCATGCTGTGCTCAGCACTGGGAGTTGGGGAGGGGGAGGTCTGCCCAGATGTCTGAGGCCCCCAACTCAGAACGTGCCCTCCCCTCTCACCCCAACCCCCATGTAAATCCCAAACCTGTCAGGTTCAAACCCAATGGGAAGAGGAAAGGGAGGCCTCTGCAGCTGTGAGAACATCTAGTCTCACACAGGAAGCAGAGAAGAACAGAGCGGGGTCAGTGGAGGGGAGAAGAGGAAAAGTGGGGGACCAAGAGAGGCATGCAGACTGTGGCTGGCAGGGGAGCACTGCACGTGGAGTCAGAGAAGAGATGGTTCCACCCCAGCTCAGACAGGATCCTCCATGGGCCTTCCCCAAATGCCCGAGCCTCCATTTTGCCAACTGCAAAGGAAGAGGCTGCACAATCTCCGGGGCCTCTCTCAGTGTTAACTGTCCTGGTTTTGTTTTATATAACGAAGGCCTCCAAGCATCATCCTCAAGAAACTCAGCCAGCTGCGGTTCTCACATTTGTAGTCCTAACACAGTGGGAGGCCAAGGTGGGAGGAATGCTTGAAGCCAGAAGTTAGACCAGCCTGGGCAACATGGTGAGACCCCATCTCTACAAAAAAATGTTAAAATATTAGCTGGGTGTGGAAGCACACACCTGTGGTCCCAACTATTTGGGAAGCTGAGGTCAGAGGACCACTTGAGCCCAGGAGGTCAAGGCTGCAGTGAGCCAAGATCGCACCACTGCACTCCAGCCTGAACGACAGAGCAAGACCCTATCTCAAAAAAAGAAAGGAGGAAGGGAGGGAGGGAGGAAGAAGGAAGGAAGGAAGGAAGGGAGGGAGGGAGGGAGGGAGGGAGGGAAGGAGGGAAAGGAAAGAAGGAAGGGAGGGAGGGAGGGAGGGGAGGGGGGAGAGAGAGAGAGAGAAAGAAAGAGAGAGAGAAAGACAGTATAACAAAAGGATTATAAATCATTGTTATAAAGACACCTGCAGCACTGTTTATAATAGCAAAGACCTGGAACCAACCCAAATGCCCATCAATGACAGACTGGATAAAGAACATGTGGCACATATACACCATGGAATACTATGCAGCCATAAAAAAGGATGTTTTCATGTCATTTGCAGGGACATGGATGAATCTGAAACCGTCATTCTCAGAAAACTGACACAAGAACAGAAAAGCAAACACCGCATGTTCTCACTCATAAGTGGGTGTTGAACAATGAGAACACATGGACACAGGGAGGGGAGCATCACACACTGGGGTCTGGTGGGGGTCGGGGGCTAGGGGAGGGATAACATTGGAAGAAATACCTAGTGTAGGTGGCAGGGGGATGGAGGCAGCAAACCACCGTGGCATGTGTATACCTATGTAACAATCCTGCAAGATCTGCACATGTACCCCAGAACTTAAAGTATAATGAAAGAAAAGTGGGGAGGGAAAATAAACTTGACTGTGTTCATTATGGAGTGCTTACCAGTTGCTGCCATTTTGCCCAGGGCTTGAGAGGACAATGAGGACCGTGCTCTGGGGGCTTCTGTTGTAGGTCATCATATCTCAGTCTCACGACCAGCCTGGACAGGTGTCACTGTCCTCATTTTACAGAGGAGGAAACAAACTCAAAGACGTTCCTTGACAAGGTCACCTGGTCAGTGTGTGTCAGAGGCCAGACTCCAACCCAGGTGTTCCAGCCCCAAGGTACACTCTACACCACCATGCTTGTCATCTGTGCGTTTGTCATCCGTGTGTTCTGGGACCTCGGGCACTGTACATCTGTGGGGCTCAGACTCGGGCTGCCTAGCCAGGCAGGGCACAAGATGAGCTCACCACCAAACCCCTCCAGCTCAAGAGGAGGCTCAGTCACTGAGTGATTTGGTCAGTCACGTTAAGTCCCCCACAGATTAGGGAGGTCCCGAGCTGGAATGCAGTTGGCATGACACCTAGTTACTGATCTTCCCAGAACAATCACTGCCTTTGCCCTAACAAGGCTCCAAGACATTGGGAAAAGCAAGGCAGAGTCTTCCGTTCTGTGGGTCCCAGCTCAGAACCACTGTAACACTCCTAGACCACTCAGTCCCCACAGCCACGAGGGAGACGGGCAAGGTTCCCCCGCTCACAAGGAGCCTCTGTCCTGGGGGGGGAACTAACTTCAGCTAGCACTAAGTGCCCAGGAGAGAACCGTGTGGCCATCTGAGAAGAGGGAAGGGTGCTCAGGGGTCTGGGAAGCCCTGCTCCCCTCAGAGGTGACATTGAGCTGAGGACCAGGGACCCACCCGGGCATCGTGGGAAGAGCCAGGATGGCGACCCCGATGCAGGAGTTGGATGTTCAGGGAGGAGCAGGCGCCACACTTGATTTGTATTCACAGTAGGACGGAAAGTCACTGGGGTGCTTTAAGAAGTGGAGTGAGATTATTGGCATGTTTACGGCCAAAATTCTGGGCACGGTGAGGATGGGCTCAGGAAGCCACTTAGGAGGCTACTCCTCCCAGGTCCAGAGAAAGGCCGTGGTGGCTGGGAGCTGGCAGACGACAGAGGAGGAGAGAATGGAGGGAAACCTGCAGGGACTCATCCGCCACTCCCAGGCACCTCCCACCTGCCTTGCACTCACCCCACTTAGTGACCCACCGTTGAGAAGTGTTAGGTGTGTGAATATTGAGAAATGCTGAGTGTGCCAGGAAGAACGATGGCAAGGAAAGCCTAGCCACCCCCACAAGGAGAAAAATACCTGGAGCATTCCATAGCGGCAGGACAATGTGTAAATATCACACACCTGTTAAAACGATTCTTTAAGCTACCTGCCCCTGCCCCCGTGGCTCCCTTGTGGAGAGTACTTTTTAGGTTGTTTGTGATCAGTGATAAGTGGGCACCAGCTGCCTACCTGGTGTGTTTTGTGTTATGAGAAAAAAAACCGAACACCTTTGTGTTAATAATGACCACCTGTTCAGAGAGAATAAACGCGTGGGTCAGCGTCTACTGGGGCCCTCAGCCCAGAATGCTGCCAGGCCCAGAGGCTCTCAGCTCAGAGGGCTAACGGCCCCCAGGATAGACCCACTTTGCTGTTCTCTCTGGGTGTCTGTCTCTCAGTTCCTTCAGCAACACGAGGGGGGTGGGGAGGTCTCTACGGCCGAGCTGGATCTCAGTAACCCGTATCAGGGACTCCGGCTCCGGTGCCAGGGAAAGACATAGGAGTGTGTAGACAGCAAAGGAGAACTGATTGGCCCCTCATGCCATGCCCTGATGGAAGAAGAGGGCACAGGATGTCTTCAGAAGCCACAGAGTTGGTGTCAGCAGTGCCCACTGAGGAAACCAAAGGCTCAGAAGACATGGGGGCATGAGAGGCTGATGGAGGCGCTGTTGGTGAGGCCACCACAGGCGCCACAAGACCGATTGGGCCACGTGCAGATAGTTGGGCTCCGCATCTGACCTTCAGGTCCATCAGGTCAACAGTAGATACTGTCCAGGGCTAAGAAACTAACTACTGCCCACAACGCTAGGACCCTCCGCACGCCCAGCCTTGCTCACTCGTCACCTTCCCTTCTCCCAGCTCCAGGCTGGGCACTGGGCTCCAGCCTGAATCATACCTGGTGCCTGCTCTTAGGGACCTCACAGCCTGATGAGGGCACACAGGTGAACAGAGAGTGACATTAGGGAAACAGGTATCCCAGAGACATGCCTGGAGCTGTCTGGGGCTGGAGGAAGAATGCCCAGGGGACACCCTTCGACTATCCTGCCAGATAACAGAGACAGTAATGACCATGAATGCCCTGAACGTGTACCGTGGACAAGGCGTTGTCTGGCTGGAAGAGCTCACTGAACTTCACAACATCTGTATAGAGAAGGTATTGTTTTCCCCACGCTGAAGATGGAGAAGGCAAAGGCACAAAGGGATTGAAAAATTTACCTCGAGGATTCCGAGCCCCACTCTCCCATGTGCTGGCGGTGAGACACCTCACCTTCGCCCTTACCTCTCCGTTTCTCAAACTGCCTACCTGAGAAACGGGACCAGCACCATGTGCGTTAATGAGAACTGACTTGAAATGCTGATTCCTGGGCCCCGCCCAGACCAGGAACTCTGGCACAGGCCCAGGGATCTGTTTTAATATGCCCTCCTTTCCTTCCAGCACACCCCCACGTTTGAGAAGCGCTGTGCTAACCCAGTGGCTCCAGGCCCAGGCTGCTCATCAGAATTGTGTGAGAGTTGGGAAAATCCTGCTTCCTGGGTCTGCTTCTGCCTTGGGCTCGATGCAGGTACAGCTCCATTATTCCATCTTCTCTAAACTCCCACGTGATGCCAACGTGCGGCCAGCAGGGCAGGCCGCCCCATGGCCTGGCTTTTCGTCAGGATTCATGAGAGAAGAAAGGCCAAACGCCCAGCACATAGTAGGACTTCAATACCTGGTACCTTCCGTGAGAGGGATATGGCACCAGCTGAACCCCAGTCCAAGCTTTTGGCTTCAAGAGCCGCATGTGCCTCCCCATCCACAGCAAGGCTCCTAATCCAAAAAGAAAAGGCATTTGGTCTTTCCAACTTTTAATCATACCACTTGCTCATTAGAAGTCCCAGGCTTTTCTGAATGATTGAAGGTCTCTAGTGATAATATTTTAATTTACCTTCATAAACGTGACAAAGCTCAAATTGTGCAGCTCCCCAAGTGGGGCCTGCCTCAGATGTCGAGGATCCAAGCTGAGGCTCACCGGAAGCACCGTGGACCCGGCAGGAGGGAGGGCTGCGGGGACAGCCTGGTGGTTTGCTGGACTCCCTGGAGCGGAAGCCCCTGGGCTGGCCCTGAGCAAGATTCCAAAGTTTTGTACCTGCCGTCAGGGCAGAAGGGCAGTAGTGACCTGCAGAGAAACCCCCTAATGACTTTCAGCAAACAGAAAAGGGCAAGAGGAGATGGCTTTAAGTGACAAGGATCAAGCTGATGATCTTGTTATCAGATTGTCAGGGGGAACAGCCAGACAGTGGTGATGGCGGGTCGGGACTTTAACTCGAGCCAGGAGCAAAGTCTGAAGTGGAGACTGAAAGGAAGCATATCCGCTTGTGGAGGAAGGAAAGACCCCTGCAGGAAACAGAAATTGCTACTGACCACTGCCAATCAGAAGGCCGAGGGCAGGCCCGGGGTTGGGAGGAGGCTCAGCAGTTCTTAGAGGGGTTGTTGCGTTCTCACCGAGGTAGGGAGTTCTAATCCCTTGGGCATCATCTCTGTGGACCAGCCAGCCTCCTGATGTGTGAGAGGTTAATGCACCACAAAAGGGTCGGTTCCTTTCTTCCATTCACGAAATATTTACTGAGCATCTGCTATGTACCTGGCACTGTTCTGGGCCCTGGGGAGATGGCAGGAAACAACTAGACCAGATCCTGCCCTCATGGACTCATGCCATGGTGGGAACTCAGACAAAAGGCAGGGAGAAGCAGCACTAGCCACCTCCAGCTGGACAGCTGCCCTAGGATGGGAATTGCGGGCAGCAGCTGGACAGCTGCCCTGGGACGGTAACTGCGGGTGGCAGGACCACAAAGAGGCATGAGTAACCTAGACGGTCTCTGGAAGCCTCCTGAAGAAAGTCGCCTCAGAAGCTGAACCTAGAAGGACAGACAGTGTTTTAGGAATTGAGGAAGAGAGGGTGGAAAGGGTTGCAAAGCGGCTGGTGCAGACACTGGAAGACAGGCAGCACCCGGGCCCCTGAGGAACTGGAGGGACAGCTGCAGGGCAGCAGAGTGCCACGTGTGGCAGCAGCGAGTGAACAGCAAGGCTCCCCAGGCCTGCCCAGCGTCCACTGAGGCATCAGGGGTCCCGGGCCCTGTGGCAGGCACTTGGAAGCCAGGAGGTGATCAGAATCCATCCCCATCCTCTGGGAGGTTAACACCAGGTGAGGGCGACAGGCAGGTCGATATGATGCCACAGGGGGGCAGCAGAGATGCCGATGCCTCCCCAGCTTGGGCGGGCCAGGGCCCTCTCCACTCCTGGTGCCGCGGGGCTAGCTGGCCTGCTCGTCCCCCGTCCCCCATGCGGAGGAGGGTGGGCTGCATCATCACCTCCTTCTTATAGAAGAAACAGGCACAGCACCAAAAGGCACGGGGACTCACACGAGGTCCCCAAATCAGCAGAGGTCATCAGCCGGCCCTGAACCCTGTCCCTCCAACTGAAGAACATACACCCACAGGCTCCCGAGGGCTAACAAGGGCCTGGGGGACCAGCAGCCCGAGCCCCACTCCATGCCCAGGCCTCCACCTCAACTTTCTCCTGCATCAATCCTCACCCACCCCACAGTGCTAGGATGATTCTAAACACTACCAACACCTGG